CACTAAAGCTCATCATGTCACTATAATGTTAATCACTAGAATATTCTAAGCTGTATTAGTTTCTGTTCATTAGAAATATTTAATAGCTTCTTCAAAAAACTGCTGTAGCTTTGGTAGCTTGGCTTGTCACAGCATTAAATACTAGCTAGCTATCTGCGTACAACTGGTTAATTATCTTAAAATACAACTCATTTTGTAAAAATACAATTTCACATGAAAAAAGGCCTTCCGCTCATTCTGGACACCTATTGACACATAGCTTGTCTAGTGAACTAGCATGTTAAAATGCTAAGCCAGAGAATAGTTGAGCTTGAAGAGCTGTAACGTTGATCTACATGTTTGTTATTAAATCACTTATTTTTAGCCACTGCTTATTACTTACTATAGCTCAAAATTATGAGGGTGGGTAGAATGGGATACGTCTAAATTGGGGAGAAAATTGGGGGAAAATGTAAAAAAAAAACAAACAAACAAAAAAACAAAAACAAAACCCACTTACACAGTTTTCATGAAGATTCTGACATTCACCAAAGTTTTCTTATTTGGGATTTTTTCTTAGGCAAGAACAACATCTACACACACTCAAGAGCACAAAGGTGCGAACAACTTTGCAGTTGAGGAACACATAATGAATCTGATGTACACTTTTTCTTAGGACCTTCTCAAGCACACATTTAAGAAAAAACTTAAGAAGGTATTGGAGAATGTTTTTTGAAGAGCATCTTTACTAGCATTTGTATTGTGAAGAATAGATTGTAAGGATGTTTTAAGCAGGTGTCTGTAGGCACTGTTAGTTAACAAGAGTTTTAAGCCAGTTATGTGCCACATTCTCAGGAGGAGGGAGAGGGGGTAGGATCTCCAAAAGGAGATCTGCATAGCCTTGTTGTAGGGTTGCACACTGTCATCTGCACAGACTGAGTGGCTGGAGGTTCAAAAAGATGTTTGCAGACTTCATACACATTTGCTAAAACACATGGAGCTTTATCTTTCCAGACTGGTGGTGCTGTAGTGGAGTAGATGAGTTGCCGGCTACATCAAAAACTGGCTGGAATTATGAATAGAAATGTAAATTGTGAGAAGTGCAGGATTAATACATAAAATCTTACGTTTTGCTTAATTAAAATCGACAACTGACTTCAGAAATATTTGTTGTAATGTAGTACTCATAACATCCTTTCTTTCTCACAGTTCATTTGGGTGTTCACATGCATTTCCTGCATCGTCTTGGGGCTGGATGTGGGTTTGCTGACTGGGGTAGTGTTTGAGCTGGGCACTGTGGTGGTCAGGTCACAGTTGTAAGTAACTCTGTTGGCTACTCTTTACTTTTTAAAAAGATCCACACGCATAAGTGCAGTCGATATATCCCAAACGTCACCATGATATCAATGTTTAACTGTATTAGAAATATTTACTGCAGCCAAAAGACTTTTTTTTTGTTTAATTAGATCCTTTATTTGCACAACCCTTTGAACTTCAATATTGTGTGGGATCAATGCACTGTAACCGTGTGCTGTTTATAACCTTATAGATAAAACTCTACTACAATCTGCGTTTGTAGTTCAGTGACATCACATAAAGGTTAATGTGTAAAATTATACAGGATATCTTCAATATTAGATATTAACTGTACATGACCATAAATCTTGAAGGTAAAGTGTAAATCTTGCGTAAATTATTTGGATACACTGTTAGGGATCCAAGCACTGCAGATCAGACAAACAAAGCGATCAGTACTTCTATTAGGTAAGCTATTAAGAACAATACTACTAATAAAAATCTCAATATTTCATGCATGCCAATAGCATAAGTATATGCTATGAATAATACTTTATGAGTAGCCATGGCTTTTCTGGTGAAATCAGTTGTATTTGTAAAGAGGACAGACTTGATTGTAGCTAGGTTTATTTAACAATCGCACTACTTTAAAGCAGCATCCTCATTGTGGGAACTTTAGTTTATAGACAGGTGAGATTAATGCTGAAAGTAAAGTAGATCCCCAGAGGCAATATTAGCTGTCCCTGTCTTAAGCATAGTTGAAACGTTTTAAAATAGTCACTACTAGCCAATGTCTAATATGGATATGCATTCCGACTAATTTTGATATTTGAGGTTCCACAAAAGGGAGGAAAAACTACTACGACTGAAATTAATGGACTGGACAGTGATGAGGACTCGTTGTCTTACACATAGTATTTTCTCCTCAGTGGATGATGTGCCAACTTGTTAGATTGTCAGAAAGATATATTGTGGGGTCCAAAAGTTTGAGACCACATTGAAAATCTGGAAGTTTTTTATTTGAACCTAGAAACAAGCAACAGAAAGTTGTAGAATTTAAAAAAATGAAACAAAAAGTAAAAAAGTAAAATAAAGAAGTGAAGAAATATTCAAGATTCTGCACAATTTCTAGATCTTTGTTTAAATGTAAGCAACTCCGTGACTTTCATTATGTTTAACGGCTTTGTACAAAAAGATCAGATTTTTTTAATCGTCTTATCTCTTCTATTGAAGCTCATGTTCTGACGTTGATTTTAGTCATTAAAAACTTTAGCACAAACTTGTGGAGTCTATGCCAGCTCAAGTGCACACCGTCATTACCCCTTTGGACCCTAAGCACACACTCTGCATGCAGTTTGCATGCCTCTATCATATGCTTCATAAGTCGGGAAAGGGTTAACCTACAGACATGATACACCCAAGAATCGTGTTTGTAAGTAAATCCTTTCCTGACTGAAGCCTACCACACTGCCCACAAGGCATGGGCTTAGTGTTCTAAGGGTTAAAGCAGCACTATGTACATTTTTTTGTAGTAGCATTACTGAGTGTGGAGAAGAAAGAACATATTAAAATATGTATGCATGCGCTGCTGCAAGTCACCCTGTAAAGTCCGAAATAAGGGTTTAAAAGTAATAGGTATCAGGACAGGAGTTTTCTCGGACAACGTCATACGTCTTTACGTATTAACGTCTCGAGCGCAGCCTCAAAAAAAAGGTCTGGCTTGATGCTTAGGTCTCAAATGCAAAATCAACATTATATTGATGAAATAATGATGACAACATTTAAATACTGCACTAATATCCTTGGAAGACACATCCTTCACCAAGTTTCAACCCACTCAAAAAAGTCATATTCATCTGTTTGTGGGGGTCCGAAACACAACCCACATTACAAAATGTTCTGTCTCACTTTGTTTGCAATTACATATTTCCACCAGAGAAGTCTTCAAATCCCCAAATCCTATATAGTGTTGCTTTAAAGCAACAGAAAGGCATACCAGATACTAAGAAATTCTGAAATTCATGTAAATGTAATTTGTAATTAAACATTTCGTATTAAATTAGAAAAGAATGCAAATTGGAAGCATTTTCATTAGTGGTCTCAGACTTTCAGACCGTGCTGTATTTCCACTGTTTCTGGACCCAGCTAACATCAGCTAGGGTAGATAGCCTAGTTAGCGCGTCTTTAACAGCATGTCCGTGGTAACTCTTTCCGAGTGGCACAGTGTGAAATAACTTAGAAGCAAATAAATAAAATAATAAATAGATTGTTGCATATTTTCTCTATTTTCCCACGACAAAACGGAACAAGTACCCAGACAATGATTTCAGTATTTGAATACTGGCACTCGAATGGAATACCTGAGTCTGGTTTGGCGATTATTTGCATAAGGCTGTGCATCAGAATACCATATTCAGACTGAACTGCAGCACTCCACACTGTCTGAAATACTTGCAACGCTAACAACTGATACTTCTATCTATATTAAAAACTGTGAAGTAATTTCTCTGTACTTCATCTAGCCCTACCTGTTCAACACTTGGAAATGTACCTGGCACTGATATCTACAGGAATGTCAAAGATTACAAAAATGTAAGCAAATATTAATTGATATACTTAATGCATGCTACTGGGTGATTGTTATCTAACATCATATAACAGCTTTTTTCTGTTTCCCTCTCAGATTAATGAGATTCCTGGAATCAAGATTTTCAAATGTAACTCGCCCATATATTTCGCCAACATTGATTACTTCAAAGAGCAGTTAAGAGCTACTGTGAGTTGAATTTGCTTTAATGTAATTTTACACACATGTAGATATAGATGAACATAAAATAATGATGTATAAGAACGGCTATTTTACTAAGTATCATAAATTGCAGTATTTTTATTTTAATGTCCACTGTTTTACAGTTTTGCTCTTTATATTTCACTGTTTTTGTTTCATTCATAACCATGTGAACACACAAAAACAGGTGGGATTTGATGCAGTGCGGGTGTTTAAGAAAAGGAACAAAGCACTAAAGAAGATTCACAAACTAATTAAAAAGGGGAAGCTGAAAATCACTGAGGTACACAAACAGCCACAGAACACAGACATGGATAGTTTAAAAGGGGAATTCTACTGATTTTTAAAAAAGGCATAAATAAGTCATTAATAATCATGCCTGAGACATTGTTTTACAATAGTTTAGAGAAAAGTTTGGCCTAAAACTTTCATATATCAGTAACACATCCACAACATATGAGTGAAGTAGCAGTAGTGAAGCATCTGATTACACTGAAGTAAATGTCATGTAGATGTTCTGTTGATACATTACTTATATCATTAGATGTATTGTTTATATGCAACTTCCGTTACGCGAAACCTAACTTCACCCAACCTTGCCCAAAACCTAACCCTAACTGTGGCCCTAATCCTAAGCCTAACCTTAACTTCAACCCAAAACCTAATCCTAACCCTCAAGTGTTTTGACATGTTACTGAGAGTCAGTTCAGTGTTTGTTTCATCTAAAAGGACCACTCAAAATAAAGTGTCACCAAAATCTAAATTCTCCTTTATTATGTTTTATTAAATTAATTAAAAGTTTTGTTTGTATAAAGTGATTTTGGATTCTACGAAAAATCAACATATGCTTTAAAACAACAAATCATTTTAAAATAAGGAGAGGGATAAAATATACTGTTGTCTGAGAGAATTAAGGTGTAATCTTGTGTAATCTTACCTTTGATATAAGTCACTGATGTCTGCTGCAGAATGGGTTGGTGCCGGTGACCTCCCTGGGTGTGGACAATGAAGCCTTTGAGAGTGAGCGGGACCCTGAACAAGTGGAAGGTGGGGCTCAGCAGGAAGTGGAGGATGGGTCTCGACGGGAGATTGAAGTGGAGGTGCAGGTGGACTGGACGTCTTCTTTGCCTGTGAATGTGACAGTCCCTAAAGTCAACATCCACAGCTTGGTGATGGATTTCTCTGCTGTGTCCTTTCTAGACGTGATGTCTGCAAAATCTCTCAGACTGGTAGGTCTCAATTCTGCCTGCGGTCAGTATGAAGTGTAAAGACCAAAGCACACAGCACTGAGTGAAGAGTTCCTTTTACACATCGGAAATGAAAAATGCAGTTCACTGTTTTAAGTGATATTCTTGTAATACAGGACTTCAGTACTGATATATTCTTAAAAATGCCAAGTGGAACAAAACAGTTCTTTGGAGCAGTGCCAAATCAACTGATTTGTCCCGTAAACTTTGATCAAATTTTGGTTCCACATAGAACTCTTAAAAGGGTTCTTAACAGGAACTCTCAACAGCACATATTCAATAAATATTTTGGTAGGTCCTCTGCTAAGAAAAGTCCTTTATAGACCCTTAACTGGTTCTTCCAGGGACCAAAACCATAAGGTTCCTTAGATACAGATTGTTCTTTTAATAGCTTTTCTATGAACCCAAATCTACAATCTAAGTGTACGGGAAATACAGGACTAACCTAAGACTAAACAATGACCAAATTTCAAACCATTTATTTTCTTTATAAGCTCAAACGCAAAAAAGTTTCAGGTTATCAAATAGCATGGTTTGGTAACCAGGCAGATAACAGCAATATTTCTGGCATTAGCTTTCTAATTAGCTGGTTAACTCACTATGCTAACTTTAACTGTGCAGATGTTTCTGAGACAAATTTAGCGTATTAAGTATTACATAATTTTCAGCATCAAATCCAGATTCAACTTAAATTTCTTAAAAATGTGTAAAAATTCTGTAATGAAATTTTAATGTGTGAAGACTAGGATCAGAAGTACTGAAAATTCAAAAGTACTGATAACTGCAGTGTGAATGGCAGAAAGAAAGCAAAGCATCCTATATATAGTCATATGCAAAAGTTTATGCACCTTTGGTCAAATGACATGTTTTGTTCAAAGTAAAAATAAGTTCCTACAGAGAACACACTTCTGGATACTTTATTACACAATAACTGTTCATTTGCTGAATCTAACATACGGGTGGGGGCAATAAAATGTGGTATGTACAAAGATTATGGCACATTTAATATCTAATTTTTACAATATGTTAAATTTAGCAATAAATAGAAAATTGTGCTCTAAAGTTTGCAGAAAATGCCATATTTTGCCATATGTATTGCCATTTGGAATCAACAAAACATGTCATTTGACAAGGGGTGTTTAAACTTTTGCATATGACTGTAAATAGAATAAGGCCTAAAAAGAGGTAGTAGTAATAAATTTCCCCAAAATTGGTACTGACATAAGGATTCTAACTTTAGTATTATTTGCTATTATATCAAAAAGCTAGTGATACACCTTGTTTGGAAATGCCAGTAAACAGCAGATTTTAGTGATATTGATGAGTCAGACGATAAAGTACACTTCAGCATATACAGTTAAAAGGCTGCAATGGACAGACAGTGCTACACAGTGAGGGTCACTGTGTTGGTGTACAGTGTTTTTAAGAAGACAAAGGACCCATTCATTAAGAACTTTGTGTATTTACTGATAGCCCTCTCATGGTTTCATATTAGTCAGTGATTTGTCATGTCTTTGTTCTTCACAGGTCATAAAGGAATTTATACGCATCGGAGTCAGTGTCTATATTGCAGGCTGTGACGGTACGGTTTATGTCAGAGCACACACCACTGTAGATAAAATGAATGCATTTATTTCTCAATACGTTATGGCACAAGATACTGCAAGCATATTAGAAATGACTAAAAATGTCTACAGTCGATCTTGGTTGAGTATTTTTAATCATACAATACTGCTCTGTTGATCACACAAATCTGTTTTATTAAAGGGGAATTCCACTATTTTTTCTAAATGTCTGTATAATTCAGTGGTGGAAATGTAAACAATGTCATTCAGGGTGGTTTGATGTGTAATGGTTCATTTGTAAAGACACTTACTGACTTACTGACTGATTTATTTACAGTGATGGTGATAGGAACCAGGGGTCCTGAGTTTTCTTTGGGGACTATTTTGCCTTACAACAATCTTAATGTATTTCTCCACCGTGAACAGATTAGAATAAACTGATTACAAATACGTGTTAGGCCAAAACTTATCCAAAATCTACCGTAAAACAATCTCTCAGACATAAAGCTGAGTATTCATAACCATTTAATGTAATAACCTTTTGTGATGTAGCTTTTAGAGGCCTTAAACTCTTCAGACATATGGTTCCCATCACTACCACTATGAACAATCCTGACTTACTAATTTTCTCTAGAATTAAGCATTTTGCACCAAACTACTCTGAATGATTTTGTTTACATCTTATCTTAACCTTTTAATTGTGCAGAATTTTTGAAAAATCAGTGGAGTTCCCCTTTAACACATTGTCGACAGTATAACAGAAAGGCAGAGTGCATGTCACTCTTTCCTGGAAATGTTCTAAATATCTGAACATCTACTGGTGTTACAGATGACACTGTGAGGAGGATGGAGGCCCTGTGTTTCTTTGATGACGTGGTAACCAGAGACCTGCTCTTCCTCACTGTCCATGATGCCATCCTCTTTATCAAGTTGGAAGCCTCCAATGGAAACATATCAGACCCCATGGTGGACAAGGCAAGTTGTAATTAAGCTAATGGCTGTATTAGGTCAGACTCCAGATAAGAATTAGGGTTGCAACATACAAGTTGGTTGAAGGTTCACATTAAGCATTTGTGAAAGGTGTCATTTCCTGTTGCCTTTGTTTATGTTGTGTGAATGAACTATGAAGTAATAATGACTTAGTGACTGTATAATCATGATATGAGAATAGTCATTGTGAAATACCTAAGCCACAATTACCATTTCCAAAAGCCATGTATATGTACAAACCTCGCTTGTGTAAAGAGAATTACATGAGAAGCAAAATGAAACTGGTTGTTCACACCTATTGCTACCTATTCTAGCCACTATTACACAAGTTGGTGTGTAGTATTGAGATTATGATCCTCAACTAGTCCTGTAACTGTGTCCAGATTTCACAGATGCAGGATGACAAAGAGCCACTTCCTTTTACTGAAGATGAAGACCGGATAGAGACTTATGATAACCAACACTTGGTGGGTTCTGTGCAGTTTTGCTCTTGGTAATACACCAGTTAGTTAAATCTGTTAAATCTATTAACCAAAGCATTGCATTTCTGTTTTCAGGCCATTCATGGACTCTCAAACTGAGTCTGCCTAAATTGCTTTGCTTGTTGGGCTCACTGGTACGGCACATGCAGTTTTCCTACTGACCTAAAGTAAACAGTTCTGGACAGTCTACAATGCCTCAGAGCATATAGGTTATGATTGGAGGGAACTTCAGTTCTGGGTGGAGCATTGTTATCCTCCTCAAAGGTTAAATATAACAGAATTAAGATTCAAATCCAATAAACACATTCTCATATACTAACCACACTGCACTAGTTTAACACTTAGCCACTGTCATTATTCTCTTGTGCATTACAAACTTGTTTGAGTTGCAACAACAACAACAGAGGCAAATACAAGGCATATTCATCTCTTGGAGGGGCAGAGGATCTGGATATAAACACTTTGTTTCCTTCCCTATCATACCCTGTCATGACCTCCTAGAGTTGGGAGAGGGCCGGAGGACCTTGAATAAACCCAGAGAGGAGCAACTGGGGCATTTGTCTTTGTGTGGTCAACTCCTGCCATTCAATATAATGCCTTAAATAATGTGACAGTGGAAACAGTTTTTTTTTTGCACTCGCATGATCATTTTATGACAGTATTGCACTCACCTTGAATACGTTTTTACATGTTTAATGATGTTCTGAGACTAAAGGCCAAATTTGGTAATAAAGAACTGAAGTATATGTGAATTAGGGTTGTGCTCAGTGTGTTTTGCCTGATGTGTGTTTAGCCAAAGTGAGCATTGACCAGCTACATTTACTCAGTTACATGCACCTAAGTTAAAAGTTTGCTCAGTTCCACTTTCCAGCCTTTCACATTGAGTTACTAATTCTCTATTCTGTGTTTGAACTTATTCTGTTCTGTTAGTTCAGCACCTGGACTAATTTGCTATTGCTCACACCTCTCAGTTTCACGCTTTAGTGTTTTGTTTTAGACCAAAACGATCTCAAAAGAGAAGAACAGAGCTGATAGATGCTAGAAGTTTAATGAAATCCAAAGTTTAGATCTCAGAAGTTCAGATGTTTAATGAATTTTAAGGCAACCAGGTTGCTAATTTTTTACATAAAAACATTGGATCATTTTTTAGAGTGCTTTACCACCTTTTGTGGTAACACTGATAACTGATAAACTTTTAAACTAGCCAGAATAAATACTGAGGAAAATGAAATGTGTTACTACAGAAGCCCTGAAGGGCCACGTTTTCTGTGATATGTACCAAAAAGGTTCATAATTTACACAGTTTTTGATCTTCTACTATTTTTGCTTCTACTCTTCTCAGATTTTGCTTGGCTTCTTTTACTTCTACTCGAGTCAATATCATTGAAGTGACATAACTTTAATTTGAGTAGGGGTTTAGGCTGCTTCCTCTTTTCAGCATTTTTAGAAGACAAGCAGAACTAAACGTACTGCAACAATGAAAAAAGTTTCAGATTGAAACAGACTACTGCACAGTACGTACTGTTGCTGACATTTATAGTATCAATGTGTGGAACAAGGAGGTTTAAAACTGGGCTCACTTTGTTTAAACCCCTAACATTTGTCATTCAATCTTATCATGTTAGACACAAAGAATCATTGTGTATTAAACCCCCCATTCTAGTCTTATCTGTTGTACACCGGTGTTTCCAAAGTCTGCCAGGAAATCTTGACACCAGTGTATGGCAGAGTTAGAAGCAAGTACGCTATTAATTTAACTCAGTGGCCCAGTATTTTGTCATAATTTCTGAAATAAAAGTAGCATAAAAAATTATTTAATGTTTTATCTTGAAAAAGGAAGTTAC